GCAACAATGAATGAATGGAATCCCAAAATCTCTGTAGATGTTCATTGAAATGAAAAATAAACAACCAAAATTAAAAAAAAAAAAAGAAGACAAAACAAAGTATTATAATGAAATGTGCAAAGAACTGGCAGTGTTGGGTTTTCTTGGTTGTTACTTACCAAAAAGTTGGAACCAACCCATAGCTGACCCTCCTGTAGGTTTTCAGAGGCAGCTAATCGCACAAGAGGAGATTACTCATCCTTCTTCCTCAGAACAAAACAAAGTTTTATAATGGAATGTGCAAAGAGCTGGAGTTAGAAACCCAAAAGAGAAGAACATGCTTAATAATTCTCAAAGTGAAAGAACCAAAGGGGAAAAAAATTCAAGCCTTGATTTGCAATAATGAAGAATTCTAATAGGCAAAATACTGAATGATTAAAAAAATTAAAAGAAAATGGAAGGGATATTCACAGTCACAATATCAAAATAAATTGGTTGATAGAGGACTATTTCAGGAATTAGAGTGTTACCAAGGAGTATTACTGAAGGAAAAGTCCAAGCTACATTGAAGGCACTGGCAAAAAATAAGACACCAGGAATTGACTGAATGACAACTGAAATGTTTTAGCAAACAGATGTAGCCTTGAACATACTTACTATTCTATGCCATGTAATTGTCTTCTAAATTTCTTGATGTAGACTAGTGAATAACTAGTGAGTAACCAGCAGTTAAAGAGATGACAGTCAAGCAAAAAATGAGACATCATCTTACTCTGGCAACAATGGAATGCCAAACATTATAGCAAACGACAAAAGCTGGCAAGGAGGTGGAGAGATTGGAACTCTTGTACATTGGTTGTGGGAATTTAACAGGGCACAACCAGTTTTTGTAAACTTTCATTAAAATTCTGTAAAGAAAAAAGGTGGTGCAACACTGTGGAGAGCTTCGCACTTCCTCAGAAAGTAGAAAGTAGAAAATAGAAATATTTTCTGATCCAGCAATCCCACTGTGAGACATATATCCCCCCAAATAAGAGCAATGACACAAACTGACATATGCACATCCATGTTTATCGCAGCATTTTTTACAAAAGCAAAATGTTGGAAACAACTAAGTGTCCTTAAATGGATCAATGGAGTATTATGTGTCACTAAAAAATGATCACAAATTCATGAAATATGCACAACTTGAATGAATATAGAACAAATGATGCTGAAGGACATAAGTTAGTAAAAAAAAGTCAATTATGAACTAAGAACACTATTATAAAAACCTAAGAGATACACAGATCTTGGACACTCAATCTTGGATGGTTAAGGCAGATAGGAGGCGAAGGAGATGGAATTAAACATAAAAAAAAATCAGGCTATGTTTGTGTAGAAAGTCTTTGAAATAAAATTCACTAGAACGTGAAATAAAAAATCACCAAGAGGAAAAAAACCCCACCTCATTAACTGGGCATATCAACAAAACAAGACAAGACAAGACAAAACAAATAAGGATATAATATCTTTATTATATGAAATAAAACTCATTGTCGTTGTGTCAGAACCATGCCAATGCTCCAGTGGAGTTTTTGGAGACTAAATAGCAGTGGATTCAAATCACCAATGAAACACTACTTTTGGGTCAACAGTACAACAGTCTGTGAATTACACCAACTGAGCTTGCTGTAGTATATACAATTAAATAAAAAGTTACCCCATACATAAAAAAATTACAAGAATACTGAATTTCTTTTACAGAATACTATATTAGTCAACAGAATAAAGGACGAGGTACCCCTTATAAATAACCAAGGAAAATAAAACGAAAGCAAAGAGACAGGTTTTGGATGCCTTTGAGTTGTAGAGTTGGAGAAGAGTACTGACTATCCCATGGACTGCAAACAAGAACAAACAGATATGTCTTGGCAAAATGGAGAAGAGTCCTTTCTCATATTTTGAGCGTGGTGCTAGGAGGAGCAATTTCCTGGAAAGGGACATCACAGTTGGAAAGTGGAGGGTGAGTTAAAGAGAGAAAGACCCTCAACTAGATGGATGGACACAGTGACGGCAGCAATGTCCGAGGTGATGAGGATGGCACAGAACAGGACAGGGTTCAGATCTGTTGTTTATAGTGTCCCTGTGAATCCTACTTTACTTGACAACATCTAACAGCAACAATAACAATACAACAACCACTAAGGGGAAAACAGCAACATAAAATTCTTCAGTGGCTATAGAGCAATAAAGAATCTTGGTTGGGTTTTCTATGAGCATCATAAAGAACTCCTGACACTACTTTTGTAAATCTATTTCAATAAATAACATAAAACCATAAAATCCATGCATGCTTATATTGTTTCTAAGTAGAGACAAATAAAACTAAAGTTTGAAAATTAAACAACAAAATACATGCCATGATTAGCAGTAAACATTCAGTGCCAGAGTCTTAGATCCAATCCCAGGGGAATGATACTGGAATTTGATCAGTCTGTACTTATTTTTCCTCTTTCCAAGTATTCCTGCTTTCAGATGTATTTTCTTGATTAAGCTTTTTGTTTATAGAGGTCAGTTTCTGAGTCAATTTCTAGGCTTGGAAATGGTTCCTGAAATTACAGTTCTTGCTCCTTCCCAGTTCTTGTCTGCTTTTCTTGGGGTTGAATGTGATGCGTTAGTCATAGATTGAGTTGTTATCTGGAGTTCTTTCTAGAATCTGATAGGTTTTCTCTGAGGTAATTCTTTTAGTGATTCCTCACTTTCCGTGTTAAATCTACTTGCAGATATATACCTACTAAATCAAGTCACCTTGTAGAGATTGCTACCACTCTCCATCTCCAGTCTGCAGCTCTGTCTGTGGCCACTTGGCTTCTATTCCTGTCATGTCATGTAAAGTACCTATTTTTTTTTTATTCAACTTTCTTGTGATACCCAGCATCCACTCTGTAGTGAATGCCAGCTTTTCTGCATTATAATGGAGAAGTAATTTCCAATAACCTAGGTTTCTTGTCTTGTGAAAGACTCTTTATGGAGCAGAACATCTTTCACAACCAAGGAGTCTCCATAAAGCCCGCTTCATGTCCTTGTTCCTCAGGCTGTAGATAAAGGGGTTGAGCATGGGCGTGACCATTGTGTACATCACAGATGCCACTATTCCAGTATTTGGTGAATAAGAGGATGATGGCTGAAAATAGACCAGAAAGACGGTTCCATAGAATAGAGTGACCACTGTCAGGTGAGAGCCACAGGTAGAGAAGACTTTTTGTTTCCCCATAGCAGAGGGCACCCCAAGGATGGTGCGTATGATGTGGGCATAAGATGTCAGGACACATGTAAGTGGGACCACGCCTGACAAGGCTGCCTCACTGAACATCATAACTTGAAAGATATGAGTGTCGGAACAGGCAAGCTTGAGGAGAGGAAGAAGATCACAGAAAAAGTGTGAGATAGACCGGGAGGCACAGAAGGAGAATTGAGACATCAGGAGACTCAATGAGAGGGCCAGGAGGTGGGAGCAGAGCCAGGATGCTGCTACTAGCAGTAGGCAACGTTGAGGTCTCATGATTGTGGTGTAGTAGAGAGGAAGGCAAATGGCCACGTAGCGGTCATACGCCATCACAGCGAGCAGAAAATCATCCAGCAGGGCAAAGGCCATGAAAAAGTACATCTGCAGCAGGCACCCTGTGTATGAGATGGTGTAATGATGTGTCTGGATGTTCACTAGCACCTTGGGGACAATAGTGCAAGTGAAGCAGGTATCAATGAAAGACAAGTTGGCCAAGAAGAAGTACATGGGAGTGTGGAGGTGAGGGTCAGAACCAATAGCCAAGATGATGAGCAGGTTTCCCAACACTGTGACCAGGTACATGCTCAGGAAGAGCCCAAACAGGAGATACTGATGTTCCAGCTGCTCAGAGAAGCCCAGAAGGAGGAAGCCAGAGATGCTGGTTTGGTTTCTAATTTCCTTGTAAGATAGAGAAGTTAGTGGATAATCTTGTTTAAGTAAAACCAGGCTCTAAAACTTAGACAAATGTCTTTGCTTTTTTTTCCTTCTCTGTTTCTCAATGAAAAGAGTCCTATAATTCACTGTAACATGTTTCTAATTAATGCTGGATATGTAAATATATACAAATATGAATTAGCTGGATGGGAATGTAGTTTGGGTTCTTGATTACTTTGATAGGAAAGTTAACCCTGCATATTGCCCTAAATGAGGCTTAAGTGGGGTTCATACTGGTAATACTTAGAGTAAGATTTAATTAAGTAAAAAAGAATTTAGAATAAATGTTTCAACAGCATTACTTTATTGTGGAACTCATTTTGGGATCATTTGAATATTTTGGCAATAATGGAATCTTTTCTGTTTCATGTGAGTGGTCAACATGTGCATTGAAGGAGATGGAGGAGAAAACATTTCCTTATAGAGGAACCTCCTGAAACTCAGGGGTCTCTGAATATTCTGGAGTACCTTGGTTCTTTTTACTTTTAAGAACCAGTTCAAAGAATTAATATGAAAACTAGAACTTTGAAAACAGACAACATCTTTGTGGATTAGGGCATAGCATTTTCATTTTAATCTTCAAACTCAACATCAGCATCTTCAGTTTTAGATTCTGGGCCTTCCAAAGAATCCTTTCTTCACTCCTTACGCAGTGTCAGATCTTGTAGTTGTTGTCATGTGCTGTAAAGTCAGAATGAACTTATAGCTGGCCCTCCAGTAGGTTTTTCATAGGCAGTAAATTGCGTGGGAAGAGCTCTCACATCTTTTTTCCATGGAGCAGTTGGCGGATTTGACTGTGAGCCTTAGGGTTGGAAGTGCAAAGCCTTCCCACAAAGCCACCAGAGCTCTTTGTCTGACGTTTTACAATTATAAAATAATCTGAATATCTGCTTCTTAACTTTTGCACTGTGAACCTACTTTATAGGGTCATAAAGTCACAATTGAATAATAAGTGTGGGGACAATCCTTCAGTAAGTTTGTAATAGATGTTGCCATTATTCATAGCAGTTGATGAAATGTGAATGTGGGACCTAAGAATCAATGGAAAATATTGGGTAATATGCAGTTCTGTTGCCTATCTCTCTTTCCCACTTTCAGAAATGTTTACAGCCTGTGAATTTTATTTTCATTTTCTATAAGAACGATGCAGATAGTATTGCTAACTTAGGTTTACTGAAGAAACAAATGCCGTAATCTGTTGAAGTTTCTTCATGAACACTGATGTGTTCTCAAAATGAGGGAGTCTAATTTCCTCGTTTGTTGGGGTTAAGGAACAAATTCAGTGGTTTTATTACCCTAAAGTGGTTTAAAATAGTCCTTCTGGAATCAGAATTTCTGTATTTAAGATAAATCACTGCAGATTTCTGGGCTTCAATGTCCACATTTATTTATTAAATAATAACAGTAATATGATAATATTATTTTTTATTATTATTATTATCATTATTATTATTTAATTATAGAGAGAGCTCTGGTGACTTAGTGGTAAGGAGATGCACTGCCAATCCAAAGACATGTGGTTTGAATTTACTAGTTGCTCCTCAGAAAAAAGACAAGTAACCGAGACTCTTTCTTACTCGTTATACCTACCTAAATGTTTATATTTTTGAAGGTCTAGTCACCACCTTAGTAAAAGGCCCTTTAGTCAAATCAGAGGTAATAGTCTTAGGAAAAGGGGCATTGGTGGCCTAGTGGTAGGGAATTGCATTGTCAACCCAGTCGCGTGTAGTTTCAATCTACCAGCTGCTCCATGGGAGAAAGATAGGCAATCACCTCCCGTGCGCTTTACTGCCTCTGAAAACTCTGTGGAGTGTTGGTTATGAGTCGATTCTAGTAAGTAGCAATAACAACAACAATTGTATAGAGTGGTTATGAGGATCAAGTTACAAAAATACTGCTAAGTATTTTAAAACATGACTCAATGTACATCATACAATGACTACAATGTGACATTGTACTCAATGTTGTTATTGTAAGACTAGGCGCCTTGTCCTGTATCATGGTATCCTGGTCAGTTTGCACTTACATGCTATGAAGTATAATAATAATAATTCATCATAATCGTCATTATCACCATTGCCTTCAGATACTTATGACTACATTAAAACCTATTCATGGAAAAGCATTTGTTTTGGCATCTGGAAACTATATGAACACTGTTCAAATAATGTAATGCTCGGAACCACATATGTTAATAATACAAATAAATATGTCTATCTTGATCCAGTTATTCACTGGCTCAAAATTTGAAAATAAGAAAAGATATGATTGTGTTTAGTAAAACTGTGTATGGTTGTAGAGGAATCAATTACACTTTCTGAACTACTTGATATGTGAGAGTGATTCTGAGAACCACTCAATGAACTAGTGGCCTGAAAATAAACTGTGCTTTATTGTCACACAGTTGCTAGGTCTTAGTATAGAATTGGAGGAGGGTGGTCTGAAACCTACCCTCCGCAATGACCTCAGGCTGGACCACTAGAGACTTGATGAACATCAGAGTTCAGTATTCCTTATGATGATCAGAAAAGCTGGGGGGAAATGGCAAAGAAGGAAGAAGCAAAGGAAGAAAAAAGGAGAAAAAGGATAAGATCGATAGTTTTTCTGTCTCTGTCTCTCTATCTCCCTCTGTGTGGAAACTGTGTGTATACATGTGTGTTCAGGTAGATTATGCTCCATCCCTATTCTCATGCCTCAGTTCTTACCTGGAGATGCTGCTCAGACTGTGGTCCTAGAACCATGGAGATTGGATGCACTATCCTTTTGACTTTCCAAGAAGACATGGCTGGAGCTGCAAGATCTTTTCGTTTCTGTAGAAGCACCACAGACTGAAAACCTGGTACTGGAGCTGCATCTCAGGTGCAGGAATCAGAGCAGGCTTTTGATTTTTTACATGGAGTGTCTCTTGGGACTCAATCCCAGACCTCCTATTTAGATAAGATGGGGCAATTGTCCAACCTCCTAGCTTTCTTCTCTTGAGTACAGTTTACCAAGGTATCGCAGCATCAGCGATGCCTGCATTCAGAGTGATCATGGCATCCATGGTAACAACTAAGCTGTTGGTATATTTCCCTTGGATGAAGAGTAAGATAAATAAATATGTCATTCTCAGTCACAACTTTTAGATTGGTGCTGTTCACCTAGGGAATGGATAATTTCTTCCCTTCCCTTTTTAAGTTAGAGTAGTTTTATTTATAACCTTTAAGTGTCTACTATCTATTTATGGGAATTCGGTGGCCTAGTGGATAAGGAGTTGTGCTGCCAACCTAAAGGCAGGCAGTTTGAATCCTCCAACTGTTCTGTGAGTGAAAGATGGGCAATCCCCTTTCACGTGATTATAGCTTCTGAAAACCTTTGAGTCGGCTTTGACTCGACAACATGTAACAACATATTTGACAAGGAAATAAAACCTATCAAATGAGGGAGCTCTGGTGGCCTAGTGGCAAGGAGCTGCAACTACAATCCCAGAGGCGCATGGTTCGAATCCACCAG